AGCCATGAGGAATTGTAGCCCATTTGAAATTGTATCTCTTCTGATTTATTCATGCGGAAAACGTTTTGTTTGATCGAATACGATACAAAATAGTGGAGGGGATCCAGATGATATCGTGTCGTGTGTTTTTCATGGTTTGACATCGGTTTATCTCCTCACTCCAGAGGTATGGGAGGGTGAAAATTTCAGTAGAGATACAATTCCTCATGGCTAAAAGTTCGAAATTATATTTCTGAAATCCGTTGGTTTTTGAAGAGATCTCTAGAAAACCTATTATACTTGGATTTATTATTTTGATATTTTGAACGCACCAGTGGAAGAAGCATCTAAAAATATGTCTGTGTGGAGATTTTAAGTGTCATCAAATAATGTTTAGAAGAGATATGCGTATTGGGCTTCTAAGATATTCATAAGTTCGTGATGACTCCTAACCAAAGAGCCGCGTTTGGCATCTTTACTCACTCAAAACTAAAACTCAAATAGTGCATTGTGTAGCTCCAGATGAGCTCTACAAAAATGTGTATTTAGATTGGTAAAACAAGCAAACTTTGGAGCTGGGAGGGCCAAAGTATACAGTCGACTGTACAATCCGTCCTTGCAATCACGTATAGATCGAGCAAAGCTACTCATAAGACCGTCTGAAAATTTCTAGTATAGTCTACTCGACTCATTTTTTACGCTGAACTTGAGTATGATCTTATAATTATAGTTTGGTGAACAGGTGGTACGTAAAATAATGAAAACTCACAAGACCTATCAAGCATTATTTCAAAATATATTCAACTTCATTCTTTTTTAGTGATGATAATATATATTAACAAACAGTAAACTATCTCACTTGTATTGGTAGAAGGAGCTGTAGCCATGTTCGATACAGCACTTGGACTGGTAGGATGTGTTCATTTACTCTCTTTCTAGTACATTGTGATAATAATGTGTCTTTTATCGACGTTCTACTTGATATACGTCAAATATGAATGATCAATTCAGAGACGCAAGACTGGTTCTAAGTGATTGATTTGGTGCTGATGAAGCAGCTAGAAGGAAGGCGTGGATACAGAATATTTTTGAAGAAGTCAATAGTAAGTCGACAGGTGTCCTAGTTGAACACAAACGTTCAGAACTATATACAATCACATGTAGTATAGATGAAATATTGTTTTGATCAACTTCAATCCAAGCAAAAACGGACTTTGAATTTAACACTAGCAGCAAACGTAATAATGTTGTCATTCTCCGAAAAGGTACTTTTAATGGATGAACACTCGTAGAGAGCAAATTTCTGTGGCAGGTTCTTTTTACTACAATGCAGATCTTGCTACGACTGGTGTTCTTTGAGCTTGTCGTGCAAAATTTTGATGGCATGACTATAATAAGATTTACGTACCCATTGTACTTCCACCATTTCCGTTTCCATTACTACTTGTTACAGTGCTTGTCTCTATAGTACGAACCGTTCCTCCTCCAGGGCCAACAGGGGGAAGTCCTGATAAAAATATACTAGTGATTAATTAAAACTGTTGACCGATATAATAATAATTAGTTTTATTGATTTTACCTCCAAATGATATTGAAATAAATGTTAATCTAAACGTTATTATTACACCATTAGGTAGTATTAATATAATTGTTATCTGTATTATGGTTGTCACTGATTTTTGAAAACTTTTCTGATCATCATCATGACATCTAAAAGATGTACACCTTGGAGGAAAATTTTGTGCGCAATTCATACTAAATCGATTTGTAAAACCCGTTTGTCTTTTGGACGGTAGACTGAAAAAAGAAGAAATATATATGTATAGGATATGAACACACTCTAAATAAGAAACGTTATACTTACAAGCGCTTTCGTCGACCTGCATTGCCAACACTGGTGATACTTTTGACCGTAAGTGAACCATTGGCTAATCCTAATTGTGTCTCTAACTAAAAGATACCACCAAAATAATAGTGTAAACAACTTTAGTCTAGTATAATTTGTATTTATTATAGATATAAAAATGGAAAGTTAAAAGTATGTCAGTGGAGAAAAAAGCAAAAAAGCACAGATGCATTGGCCTATGGAAAATTATTCTGGAACTATTAATAGCATAATGATGTTTGTAAATTGTGCGAAAAAACACTTTTGTTAGACTGTAGTATTTTACCTGTCTGGCCACAGCGTCATTGTTTGACGATGGAAACGTTCCAGTGAATACAGAATTGTTGTCAGCTGGTGTACTGTATTCAATAACAATCACCGGTGATTCTTACCGTAAAGTTGAACATAGAAAAGGAATATTTAATTCAGAGTGCGAGAAGCTTACCTCGTCCATTAATATTTTCACCTCGTTTTGGTAAGTAAACTGGTATTAAAGCCAGAACAATTATAGCTGCTACCACAAGACCCACTAAGGCCAAACAACATATAGCAAGAAGAGGCCACACAGCATTTCTTAAATAAGAAAAACAGAAGGTGATGGGTCATGCCAACGCAATTGCTAAATTTCATCTTTACATGTATTTTTACAAAAATGCTACCAAAAATTTATCTTTTTTACCGAAATGAAATAAGTTATTCAAGTTTTTAGGCTTTGAAATATAGTATACAAGTGTTAAAACACTATTTTGATCATGTCGGATGCTTTGAGAATTTACCGGCTTTTTTGCGCTGGAGCTGCAGCGATGGGTGCTTGCGATGTATACATATTACTGGCACTACAGTGTACAATAGAGATTTTTGCTTAAGTACAATAAATAATGTATCACTATCTAACTCACATGTCCAACCATAATAACTTAGAGAATAATACAATGACCACTTCGTATTTTTATTCCTTGTCTAACTGCTTTACCTGAATATCTCTCAAATTTACACATTTTTTGAATGTAATCGACCGTAGCATTAATCGTGCTTCGCCATAATCTCTAAGTATACTAGTCTTGTTTACTTTATGTCAATGGGCTTTCAATCAGTTTAAATTAATATTTTTCTTTATGAGTTGTTACATTAATATATATGGTCTGTATTGTATCTCAATAGATTAATTTGATTTTTCCACACGTGATATACTTCTCTTTCATCTGTATACAACCATCTGTAATGTTTGTTGAAAGCCCAATACATAGCACCTGTATCTTTTTTATCAAACATATTTTCTATGAATGCAAAGAACGAAACTAATGGCAAGCATTCGATTTAATGCCTTTATTTATTCTATTTTACCTTGATGGATAATCAACATTCCCGTGTGTGGTACTCAAACAATAACTAAACCGACTTACCTTATTACATGTATGGAAAAAACATCCAGCCGATCTCAGAACCTCAGATTTACATATTTAGCGCAAGCCATCAGTAGAGTTCTATGCATCTAGTTAAACACATATTGCCCATCCAAAAAAAGAATGGTATATGACTACTTTTCGATTAACTTTTGATGGAAAAGAGCTAGGCAACTCCAGTTTCACCATTCAACAGAGGAAACTTGGAAGCATGTTTTCATAATCAACATTTTTTCCAGAAGTATTTTATGAAACCGGTTTTCGAGAAGTTCTTTGAAGAACTAGGCCTTGTGTAAACATTTTCTAACAGGATTGTGCTGATTGTTTTTCATGAGCTAGTAGTTCGGGGTGTCTTCTTCAAAATGGAAGCCAAGTGAGACTTGATTTTCCGTGGTTTGGGCGTTGTATTGAATTTCTTACGAGTCTCAGGACTGGCAGCCCGTGACTATTGGTAGCTTTGAAGACGAGTGAACTATGAGTAATCGTTCATGCTGAGTCTGGTGGCAATATTTGTGTTTAGAAAAAGACTTGGAAATGTACCGCAAGCGACTTTTACGAAAATTAGAGTTTTCAGGCTGTTTGATACTTAGTTGTGCTGCTTATTTTTATGACATTTTATCCAAAGTTGTTCTTTTAGCACATTCTTTTATTCTGCATCCGCGTTTGCAAGAACACGTAATACCATTTACAACATAACAGACATGAAATTGGTGAATGGTGTACCATTTGCTTGCACCCTTCACTTCGATGAAATTTCGACGTCTGAAAGTCCTAATAGCTTAACCGTGTATTGGCCTAGCAATTCAATATTAGTCTAGTCTAGTCTGCCTCCAGAAAACAGGCAAACACGAAAGACAGGGCATATTATAAAAGCAAAATAATTTACAGCTCCGACCATCATGATTGTGAAAATAGTACCAGGGTGTAGTTTCCGGCATCCGGTCAATCACGATTTTTACGACGTGGGCTTGTCTCATAGAGAAAACTCAGTGTTTATGGTACTGAGTGTTAAATATGTCTACCGTGCGTGTGGTAAAAAGAATATTTATTCAATCAATAAAGTAACAATACAAACAGAAAACATTATTACATTAAAAGCGCAAAAAAAAATCTATTTATTTCCAACGTTTGTATACACATTGACCGTAATTATTCTATTTCCAATTTTATTATTTGCCTGTATACCATTTATAAATTATGTATACCAGTTTATATAATTACCTTTGTATTATATCTCACAATGCAGTCAGCTACTGTACATGCGTGTTCTCTTCTTTTCTCTACATATATTCTATATGTACATTCACGCTTTTTTGACATGTGTCTGCACGTAACCCAACTCTCTTTTCTTAGTGACTTTTATGATTGAATCATTTTAAAATTTACTTAAAATTACGATTATACGTAAAGATATACAGTGAACCGAGATTGTCCGTCTACAATCCAGAAATATCAAAATATATTTCTTCGAATACATTTATTAATTTTCTTACAATTATCCAGTACAGTACGATGTTAAAAAATTGTGGGATAAACGAATACTGAATCACCTTGATTGCGTTTACATGAATGAATTGCTTAGCCATCGTACCATTTGGAGAACAAAAACCCGAGAATGGAAAAAGTCTAACCAGGAAAGGTCCCCAAGTGTGTAATCGCCTTTTGCTTGAACTCTGATGGACAATAAGTAATCGACTGCGCTAAATCCGAATCTGATATCGGTTAGTGCTGCTCGACCTCCAGAGACCGAGTTTCTGGAAAACTAGGTTTTCAGAAACTCTAAAAAATAGTTCATCAGTTCATCAGTGCTGTATGTAAAATACTTGAGCGATAAATAACAATATAATGTTTATTCCTATCTTTTACATATTACTCTAGCTGACAACAGAAAAAAGTTAGAATTTTAAATAAACCTTTTTCAAAGATTTCTAAAAGTCTTGACGAAGTTTCTGATTCGCGCACCGGCGTCGGAAAACTTTAAAAAATCTTTTCGGCAGCGGCGCGACTACGACTTCTGTCCACGAGTATAACCTTTTTCCCACATGTTAAATATTTTAAACAGAATACAAATACAAGTGGATCCACTGTAGTACCTCTATGATCAGTTACGAGCTACACGAAGAAAAAGAACATACAATATATAGCTGACGAAATTTTGCTTAAGTACAATAAATAATGTATCACTATCTAACTCACATGTCCAACCATAATAACTTAGAGAATAATACAATGACCACTTCGTATTTTTATTCCTTGTCTAACTGCTTTACCTGAATATCTCTCAAATTTACACATTTTTTGAATGTAATCGACCGTAGCATTAATCGTGCTTCGCCATAATCTCTAAGTATACTAGTCTTGTTTACTTTATGTCAATGGGCTTTCAATCAGTTTAAATTAATATTTTTCTTTATGAGTTGTTACATTAATATATATGGTCTGTATTGTATCTCAATAGATTAATTTGATTTTTCCACACGTGATATACTTCTCTTTCATCTGTATACAACCATCTGTAATGTTTGTTGAAAGCCCAATACATAGCACCTGTATCTTTTTTATCAAACATATTTTCTATGAATGCAAAGAACGAAACTAATGGCAAGCATTCGATTTAATGCCTTTATTTATTCTATTTTACCTTGATGGATAATCAACATTCCCGTGTGTGGTACTCAAACAATAACTAAACCGACTTAGTAGCCAGGGGTGTCCTCTTCAAAATGAAAGCCAAGTGAGACCTTGATTTTCCGTGGTTTGAGCGTCGTATTGAATTTACGAGTCTTACGAGTCTCAGGACTGGCAGCCCGTGACTATTGGTAGCTTTGAAGACGAGTGAACTATGAGTAATCGTTCATGCTGAGTCTCGTGGCAATATTTGTGTTTAGAAAAAGACTTGGAAATGTACCGCAAGCGACTTTTACGAAAATTAGAGTTTTCAGGCTGTTTGATACTTAGTTGTGCTGCTTATTTTTATGACATTTTGTTCCACACTCTAGACCACATGTATAGATCCACTTTTACATGTGAAATCTGAAAATAACATTGGTGAGATCGAAAAGTGAAATGGCGAGGAGAAAAACGCAGTTTTCTCAAATCAAAGGTTTTGGGCGTTTTTGTGGAGTTAGCAGTGTTTTGCGTTGTTCTCCCGGAAAAGGCGGTCAAAATGAAAACAAGGTCGGATTCGTGATCATCAGACAAAATTGCATCTACTGATGTGCTCTTGAGTCAAAAATAAAATTTACTCTAACTTAGAATTACGGGCGCCTTACCAGACGCGAGAAAAGCTGAATTATGGATGCTGGGCTATTATAAACGCAGAAAGAAACTGGCTACAAGGTATCAACATTCGGTTTTGAAGAGCATAAAGTTAGTACTTCCAGAACTATCTAGCTACGGAAACTATGAATACAAGAATAATTCAGAATACGTCTGGGCCATAAAATGTGACCACTCGGAGCTCTCCGCGAGCTTCGTTGAAAAGGTTATGCAGTTTTTAAACTTTTCCTTCAAAGCTTAGGATATCTCAAAACTCTTTGTTGCTAAACGCTTTGTAAATCTAGAATACCGAGAAAAACCGGTTTAAAATGTAAAACTTTTAAAAAACGTATGAGGGAAAACCCGCGTTTTTGAGCTCCGCGTTCAGATTTGGCTGATTCTCTTCTTCCTTAACATGAAGAATCGGTCGAATATTTCAGCAGTTATGGACATCGCTTCTTCAATACTAACGAGAAAATGATGGCCACATGAACGATGCATAAAACTAGCCATGAAAGGCACAAGACAATCTTGAAAGCACGGTTCCAATAAAGCCACCAACCGGTCATTCAAGTATTTCGTAATCATGTTGTTGCCTTTCTTTCCTTGTTGATAGAAGTATTCTTCTGTGTCATCAATCCAAAAAGGTTAGCTTCACTAAGAAAAACTGGCCTTCGCTCATCTTTGTCACTGCATGCTCTCAGCCTGCTCTGGGAAAAACATGTTGTCATCTAAATATTGATGATTGTTAGTGCCAAAAAGCGTTTTTAAGCGTTTCATGATAATCATACCAGCTGAAACCTATCTTGACAAAAGTCAGTCAGTTTTGAAAGAAAAAGTTTTTCGTGGTTAGCTTGACGGCCCAGACTGAGAACAATCGATACAACCTTTCGTTCACAAATCAGTAGCGGAACGTCTGAATTGAAACGTGAACACATGCTTGAAGTAGCACATTTCCGAACAAAAGTACATAAAAAGAAAACTCATGCTGCTCATTAAGCGTCATCGATAAAATCCGAAGTGAGGAACTCGAAAATGTTGTTAATCATTTGTGCTCCAATATTTTCTTCCACTGTTTCCATAGGTGCCGACATCTGGTCTTTGTCGATCTCTTCTTGCAGTATTTCTTCGTCATTGCACGCTTGTCCAGCTGATAAACAAGTCT